GATAAGGGTAGGTCCACGGGTCGAGCGAAGACGTGGAGTCCACTGAAGATGTGACAGTTGAGGCGTTACAAAATTACAATAAAAATTTATAATAGATTGTCGTGTTGCAGCACGAGTTATATCTATTGACTAAACATAATTGTCTGTGCGGTAAATATTGTTGGGACGATTATTTTAAAATTTTCAAGTATATTTTTTTTTGATAGCATCTAAATGGTGTTATTTATTAAAAAAAATCTAATTGTATTGGAAATAATGGGTATGAGACGGGAGCGGATAATTCGAAAAAGTAAAATATTATCCAAACTATTTTCATAAAAAGCATGATGAAAAATAAAAGTAACGAGAGGAGATCATAAAATCAAGAAACTAAATTCAATTTCAATTTTCAAATATCAAATAACATGTATGATACATGAACATGAAATTTGAATTGTTATATTTAGTTTTAATTATTCAACTTTATTCCAAATATTGGAATATGAAATAACATGTAAGGGTAATTTGAAACATAAAAAATATCATTTAAACTATTCCTATAGAATATGGGACACAAATTTTGGGTAACGTGAATTTAAGAAGAACATATGCGGACATACTATTTACTAATGTGGATTACAGGAAATGTATTTTTTGCGGGTCAAAATATTTTAATCTGTATTGGGTTAAAAATATTTTTAGTGTGGAACATGCATAGCGGACGTGTTTGATCCAGTTGACAAATATATTTAGTCCATCCAGGATCAAATGTTTTTTTATTATTGTTTTTATTATGTTTGATAGCTCACGGTTCACACTCAATCTGGGTCTGCTATCGTGTTGATCCGACATTCACAAACTTTATGAAAGCAAACTAATATTAGTTTATGTTATAAATGATGTAGAGAATATATATATCTAAAAACAAAACCTTATATTTATGTGTAAGTCTAAATCGTTGACCTATTTTCTTATATGTTTGACTAAAATATACACTCTCAAATGGGTGAATAATTAAAATGGTTATGAGATGGAAAATATGACATATTTAGGATGCACGGGAGAAGGTTTTGATCCAGAAATTGACAAACCACATTTCTTTTACTATTTGTTTTAAGGTACATCTGTCTTTAATTAAACCAAACCGTATCGCTTTTTTTGTTTAACATAATAAAAAAAAATATTGAATTGGTACGGGTTTGATTATAAATGTTGATAATATTCCTAAAAGTTACGTTTACAAACGTAATCCTGTATATACGTAATATATGTCAAAATTTAATACCAAATTTTGGATTTGAAATCAATCCCGTACGTACGTTCGAGTCCGATCGAATCTAGTATGTTTTTAAGAAATTTAACTGGTTTGTATAATATATACTCGTAATAAATGATATATAAAATTAAAAAAGAAAAGAAAATTAAAATATATATATATCATTTTTTACCATTATATATTATAAATTTTCATTATCCAAAGAACAATTGGTTTAACATGCTTTAATTGAAGTAATCTGCTTAAGTTGGTTTTAATTGCGTTAATCTAGTTTAGTTGTGTATTAAAAAAAAGGGTTGGGTCTTCGCAATTAGATACAATATTGAAATAGGATTCAGGTAAGCTTTCTATTAATTTTCTTTTATTTTTAAATTTTAGATTCAAATATAATTAAAAATTTTACATTTCAAATTTTTATTTTTAAATATATATTTTTTAGGAAAAGATAGAAAAGTTTTAAAAGCAATGTATATTTTTAAACTATCAAATTTTCAAAATAGAGAAATTTTAATTATTTCATATAAATGTAATTTTGAAATATATATTAGAAAAAAATAATTTTTTCAAATTTTTTAATTTAAATTTAATAAATAAACTTATTTTTCAATATTATACATCAAAGATTGAAGTTATAGAAAAAATTGAAATTGTAGACAAAAAATATTTAATATAAAAATTAAATATTATATTTAACAATAACGAATTATATTTTCATATAATAGAATATTGGATAGTTTACTAATTAATAGATTTTTTTCTAGTAAAGCATAAACATGTGAAATTGCTAATAACTGGTAACTATCTTAAACAAGCAAAAATCATTGTGTAAAGAGGTCTTTTTTCCATCTTTGATAATGGTTCTTTAGCTCTTCTCGTCTAAAAAACCTTCCACAACACCATAGATATAAATACTTTCGTCATCCTCCAAATGCTGCTCTATGGAAGCACAAAATTAAGTCTGCTCTACGTTTCATCACACTGGATGAGGCTTTGCGCATGGTTGTTTTCCCTGAATTGCGGTGGCATAGAAACATAATATTACTTTAAGCAGTTTGGTATTTGACACTTTATTAGTGGGATCCATTTAAAAAAATGTTTAAAGGTATAAACAAGATTTTATTGGAGAATACAGTAATTAGAAAACTATGGTAAAATATTGAATATTTTTTTGGTAGAAATGAAATGAACCAAGCCTTTATTTATAGAATAAGAAACTATAGTAAAATATTAAATTGATAGGATGCGATCAAATCCTAAAAAAACTCACATAACAATTAAAATAAAAGACGTGCCTCATCTTAATTATTTGGAAAAACAATTTCTCAACATATAACATTTATACTTCTCGTTCTCCTCTGCTCCTCTACTCTGTCTCTTTCATTTATTTTTCTCTTCATCTCCTCTTTTTTATTATTTCTCCCCTTCTTCTTCATTCTTTTCTTTCATTATATGGTAAAACATTTTTCACACCAAATATGTACCATTGATGGTGTATGTGTATCCTTTAGGATCTACACGTATGATAGCTCTTTCAGTTTTGGACGTGATCTCGTTGACCATTTTCCATAAACATAATTGTATATGGATATCGCCCACAAAAGATCTTCTCAATTGCAGCTACGAGGAAATCTTTCCATCTATTCTTATTAATTAAACCAAAAATGTAACATATTTAATCATATACATTAGGTTTTAATTCGCCGTATTCTGAAGGACGATTTTATTATAACTAAAGAGTTTATATTTTTAGCTATATTTTTTTTATTTAGTGTTTAAGATTGTGTAAATGTATTTTGATTGTTAATTATAGGACTTAACTCGTGGTACACCCGAAGACAATTTTTTGTAACTAATTTTTTTTTTTTAAGTGTAAGTTGTATTTGTTTATTATTTTATTTTGTTTTGTCATCAGTTGTATTTGTTTATTAGTTTGTTTAGTATTTAAGATTGTACAATAGTATTTTAAAATGTTAATTCTATGATTTAACCCGTGGAATATTTATTTGTTTTTTTATATAATCGTTATTTAATCAACTTAACTACATATATTTAATATTCATATGATGATGACATAATATGTTTCATTTACCTCATTGTATTTCAGAGTACAATATTTTGTATAGGCAACCCATAAGAAAAATATAATCATATTTATGGAAACTCAAATCCGCTCTATCATGTTTATGTAAAATATAATAGTATTTTATATTTTTAGAGTTAAAATATGAATAATATTTTATTTTTTTATATAGAGTTTAAATATTTATAATATTTTAAACATTATAATAAGCTTAAATATATATAATATTTAAAACTTTTGAAAGATTCAATATTTATAATATTTTATACTTTTTAAAGTTTAAAAATTATAACATTTGAAACTTTATAAAAGCTTTAAATTTATAATCTTTAGAACACAAAACTTTATAGGTTAGAAAATATAATGTATAATGTATAATGTAGAAAATAAAATATAAAATATTTAGAACACAAAACTTTATAATATATTGAAACTTTATTCTCTAAATTTTCATTTGGTTTATAAATACGATTTGAAATGAAATATTTGCATGAAAAATAATTTGCATGAAAAATATTTACAATTTTTTTATAAAATAATACTAATAACTATCATCAAATGTATATGATTTTCACCAAAATATATCAAATAAAACCTAGTATAGAAACGAAAATTGGTTGTTTATCTATATGGTTAAAGCCTAAAGATCTAGTTGACAAAACTAGAAAGAAATTTCGGAATCAAAACTTGGCAGCAGAATTTATTATTTTCGAGAATCTGTTGTAGCATTTTAAAATCTAGAAAATAACGCAATAATAGCTGAATCATGCCAAAAAGTTTTTTGAAAAAATCCCTAAGTATCATCAACATTTTGGTAATTAGTTGGTTCCCAATTTTTTGTTTTGGAAATGTGGTTTTTGTTAGTAACTAGATTTTAACCCGAGGTAACCGCGAGACGATATTTTAAAATGTCTTTTTTTAATTAATTTATTTGGTATATAAGATTATCCTACATGCTAGTAAAAAATGAAATAATGTTTGTATAATATTACATGACAATTTGTTTGATCAACTTAACTAAATAAGTCTAATATTCAAAATAATGAAATATTGTTTGCATAACATCTTTCAGTTAAATAGTATAATTTCAGATCAATATATGTTGTGAGTTTTACTATAGTAGACAACCCATAAAAATATTTATATCATAATTATGTAAATTATAACCTGTTCCATCACATGACCCGTGCTACACAATTATCAATAATATTTTTTTACATACATTTTTATATTGTATGAGTGATATAAGTCCTTTTTTAATTTTCAAATGGCAACATATGCAAAAATATATATATATCATACATATGTTATATAATAATATAAATTTAAAACAAGTAAAATCATATAAAAATATCTGAAAAATATTTGATTTATTAGGAGAGATTTTAGGAAATTTTGTTAAATATAATAATTATTAATTTATAGTTTTGCAATTTTATTATGATTTAGTTACATGATTTACCTTAAAGTTTTGTTATTTATTCAAATGACAAATGTTTAATTATGCAAATATTATAAAATCAAAGGTTATAACGCAAAAGATGATTCAAAATTCTTGAAAACGTGAATTATTTATAGTGTTATTTAATATTTAAATAGTACATTTTAATAAATTCCATAAAATTTCCACTTCTTGTATAAAAATACATGAAGTAACAAAACCGAGTCAAAAAAGTCAAAACCGGTTTCTTTACTAAACGCTGCGTTTAGTATTCTCTCGGCGACGCTTCGAATCATGGCGGACAAAGCAGCAACGTCGTCTTCCTCATCTCCGCCGGTAACCTCAAAACGCGTCCTCTCTTTTTCCGATATAGTCTCTCTCATCTCTGATCTCTGTCACTGTTTTCTTAATCAAAACCCTCGATCAGGAAATTGCAGATGAAACACAGGACTGGATGCTCGGATCCGGGTCGGGTTGGGTCGAAGCTCGTACATCTTGCGATCACTTGAACTCTCTTTCTCCTGATTTGCTTCACTTACCAACTCCTGATACTCCTTGTTCAAGGTACTGAGACTCTTGATTTGATCTCTTGGGATAGTGATTGATTTCTAGGTTTCTCTCTACTCGTTCCTGCTTGATGCGATTTTGTTTTGAAGTAGATGATGCTTTTAGATTGGTGTAACATTCAAACATGGAAACAAGTTTTTGTGGGTATTGAGTTAAGGTTTCATAGCTAAAGTTAGAAGCAGTTTCATGATTGTCTCTCTGCAGCTGAAGGCGAAACCTGATTCTTCTGCTTTGTGAGTTTTGTTTAGTGATTCAATCATAAGCACTTTACTTCTTGTGATTGTGGAGTGCCTTGTGATTGTTTTGTTGATCTTGTCATCGTTCTTTTAGATAAATTTTATGTGAGCATTGAGTTAAGGTTGTTGCACATTAGTGTAGTTAACTTAGAATTAGTTTTATCTTTGTTTCTCTGCAGTTCAAGGCTAAAAATGTATGATTTGATCTTTAGGTAGATGATGATTGTTTCTATAAGATGATATGTTACTGTAGTCTCTCAAAGCTTTTAGATTGGTGTGTAACATTCAATTGCATATAGGACATGGAATCAAGTTTTTGTGGGTATTGAGTTAAGGTTTCATAGCTAAACTTAGAGGCAGTTTCATGATTGTCTCTCTGCAGTTGAAGGCTAAACTTGATTCTTCTGCTTTGTGAGTTTTGTTTAGTGATTCAATCACAAGCACTTTACTTCTTGTGATTGTGGAGTGCCCTGTGATTGTTTTGTTGATCTTGTCATTGTTCTTTTAGATAAATTTTGTGTGAGCATTGAGTTAAGGTTGTTGCACATTAGTGTAGTTAAATTAGAATTAGTTTTATCTTTGTCTCTCTGCAGTTCCAAGGCTAAAAATATATGATTTGGCTTTTCCCCTTTGTTAATTTTGTTGTAGTTGAAGGTTGAATAAGATACTTTTGTGCTGTAGAAGGTGTGTAGTAATTCTGAATTTTAAGGATGCGATCTCAAGCGTTGTACCAAAGTTCTTGTGATTGATTTGTTGGCCGTATATTGATTTTGACATAATTAGTGTATTAAGCCAAATGTCAACAGTTCAAACATAAGTTAACTTTGGATCAGGCCCATCTTTTGTCTCTGAATTTTCCGCGTTGTGAGTTTTTGTTTAAGTTGAACATATGAAACGATAGGGATGTTTAGTACAATTTCCATTTGTATGGAGTGTTTAGTGATTCTGAATTCTTAGAAAACAATCTTAAGCATTGTATCAGAGCTTTTGTAGTTTTTGTTGGCAGCATAGCTGATTTTGTCACCACTCTTGTTTTAACTCAATTATCTTACTTTCTAATGTGTATAAGGTGCCAAAACCCAGTAGAGAACTGGTTATGCCTTTGTTGTAAAGAGGTTCTATGCAGCCGTTTCGTGAACAGGCATATGCTTATGCATCACCAACAGACTGGTCACTGCCTTGCTCTCAGCTATAGGTACAGAATCTCATTACATTTGCTCGTATCTTTCTTGTTATGTTAACGGTTTCCGATGCTCTGCTATTTCTGTGGGATCACAGTGACTTGTCAGTATGGTGCTTCTGCTGCGAAGCGTATCTTGATGCTCAGATCATATTGCAGCTGAGACCAATCCACCAAGCTGCTTACATTCTTAAATTTGGCGAGTCTCCTCCTTTACCTCAACTTTGAACACTAATAACCTCTCATTTTCTTACTTGGTCTGTGCTTTCGTCTCTCTGGATGTGTTAGGGAAGATAATGTAGTACAATATTGAGTCCTTGTTCTCTCTTGGTTCCATGAGAAAGCAAATAAAGTTTCTAACGTTAATTATCATCGCATTTAGTTAAAAACAATTTTTTTCTATAATATTGATTTCAAATCCAAACGCCAAATTGTCACGTAAGTTTTCGATAGTTTACGAAATTATCTGGATAGGAATACCCTGTGAAAAAAGTACCAAGAACCAAAAATCTGAACCGGAAACGTTCTAAAAAATTAGACCCGACTACAGATCCGAAATTTTAGATTTATCTTATTGGATCCTAAACTCCTCTGCTTAAAAATACTAAACTGAACCCAAAATATACATATAAAAAAATTAGGGTCCGAATACCCAATCATTTACTCGAATATCCAAATTTTTATCCGGGACTTCGAATTTACCCGAAAGCCCAGATATTTACCTGAAAATTTGAGTATATATCCGAAAACTTAGATATGTATACAAAATTTTTGATTATTAAAGTAAATTTCAGGTATTTAGGTATCCGAAAATAATCGGACTTTTAGCGGGTATGAAAATATATACTTGATTCGACCCGAAACCGAAAAGACTCAAACAGAACCCTAACAAAAATTTTACATTTATCCATTTGGATTATAAACTTCTCTACCCGAAAAACCCGAACCCGAAAAATTCTTATTCGAATCCGACTCGAATACCCGAATGGTCAAGGCTAGATCGAATACTCGAAATTGTAATTTTATTTCAAGAATTGTAACACGATGAAATAATTAAATAAATACTACGTTATAATTTTTTGTTAAAATAAAAAGATAATAACCGTCGAGTGTCCACTTCCCCCACAATCATATGATCAAACCCCACTTACTCCTACAAACTCTCGTATCCTCTGTTTCACTCATTACGAAACAAACTCATGTTCAAAGATTGAGACACAAACCGAAACAGAACACGATACAATGTTTTGTTTTCTATTCGGATGGAGAAAGACCTCAAAGTGTAAAAGTGTAGTGAAACAGCTTCAATGTCGTCTAAAGCTACTCAAGAACAAGAAATACGCCATTACCACACACTATCGACACGACATAGCTCAGTTGATTCGTATTGGTGAACGTGACCGTGCTCTTCATCGTGCTCAACAGCTCTACGTCGATGAGAATCTCATGTCTCTCTACCACTTGTTGCTTCACTTCTCCGACCTAATCCTCCAAAACCTTTCTTACATTCGTAGACGTAGAGACCTTTCTAATGGCATCAACGAAGCTGTTTCAACACTTGTCTTTGCCTCTGCGAGATGTGGAGATTTGCATGAGCTACGTAGTTTGAGGATTCTTTTTGGTGAACGTTACGGGCAACAGTTTGTGGATACTGCTCTTAATCTTCTCCCTGGCAATTGTGTCAACCCTCAGGTTTATTAACAACGAACTCGTTATGATTCAATAAACTTCAAATCTTGTTTCGTCTTCTTGCTTAAGGTTCAAGAAAGACTACATATTTGATCTCTTAAACCTAACAGAGCATATATACTTAAATGCAGGTTATAGAGAAGCTCTCTGTAATCACAGTATCGTATGAAGCCAAGTCAAAACTGTTGAGTGAGATAGCAGCAGAGCAAGGCCTTCGTCTAGAAGTTTTGGCGCTCCAATACACTCCTGAGTTTCACAAACAGGTGACTCTTTGGATCATTATATAATATCTTATTAGCTTCTTGATGATGTTAGTGTTGAGAGTATGTAATATGGTACTTCTTGGTGTGTGTGTAGGTACTAAAGAGCGAGGAGGCAGAAGAAGAGAAAGAAGTCATGGGCTCACAAAAGGCTGAGAGCGAGGCAGAAGTGTATAAGTTCACTCTCACTGATGCAGACACAGAGGAAAAACAAGAGAAACAAAGTGACCCTAGTAAAGCATCAAGGGATCAGAGAGGAGAAGTATGTGAGGAGGATTGTTTCATAGAGGAAGAAGTAGTGGAGAAAGATCAGAGAGTATTTAGATTCAAAGAGACTGATGAAGAGAGCAAAGAGAGAAATAGGTCAAGGAGAAAAACAAGATCATCATCAAGCAGTCCGGTCGCAAAAGACATGGATTGTTGGAGGTATTACTACAAAGGAAGGAGAAGTCGTCAAAGAAGAGAGTGTGGTACTGGTCGATGTTACCATATAGTGTACAACGTGTTTACAATGTTGCCTGATGGTAAAGGAAATGGAGGAGAAGGAGAAATAATCTTCAAGGAAGCTAAGCATGTTCATCCTAAACTTCCTGACTATGATCAGCTTGTTGCTCACTTTACTGCTCTTAGGAAACAACAACAACAGAAACATATGCGTTGACTATGATTTGTAAACTCTTAATTCTTTCAGACCAACATTAAAACTATGATTCATTTGTTTTGTTATGTGATTCAGTACCCTTCACAAAAACATATGTGTTCACTATATGTTATATATTACTTTTCAACAAGTTTTTTTTTGAGATGCTAAAATGTGGTTTCAAAGATTTTAACTCAAGTTAAGCAAATGGGAACTTGTGAAGATGAGAACTTGGATGCTTCTTCCAACCACAATCGCTATAAATGAAGCAACAACATTGTGTTTAGGAATAGAACACACAAAGTCTTAGGGTTTTCTTGACCACCACTATAGAGGTGTAGTGTGTTATTAAGTGTGAGAAGAAGAACAAGTAAGGGAGTGCAAGAAAAAGCACAATGTACTTATTTTACTTTCGGTTATTTTTGGTTCGGTTCTGGGTATCTGAAATGGTATAATAATTTTAAAATTTTTTAAATTGGAATAAATTTGATTCAATTTTTATTAGAACTTCGAATATTTTTCTTTTTGAAAGATTTGGTTATTTTAATATAAGTAAAAATATAATATTTACAGATTTGTAATTGTAATTTTGGTAATTGGGTTATATCAAATATAAATAATTGAAAGGAATTCAAATGAATTCAATGGAGCAAAAGCTCTCCGAATACCTCTTTATAGTGGTATTGGATTAGGGAATCGCAATTAAAAAATATACTCATTCTGTTTCACAAAGAGTGTCATTCTAAGATTTTTCACATAAATTAAGAAAAATTAAAAAATTTCATTTTTAACCTTTATTAATAAACTACATAATACACTCTCTCTAATTAATGAGCTGAAATAATAAGGATAAAAAGAGATTATTTCTTTAAAATTGCATTGGAAACACAAAACAACACTCTTTGTAAAACAAATTTAAAACTTTAAAACGACACTATTTGTGAAACATAGGGAGTAATAGATTTTTTAAAAAAAATAATACAAAGGATTGTAATAAATGCTACCCAAATCTTTGTTAAAACTCTTGGAATTGTATCTTAGAATTTAGTAATCAATCAATCGAAACACGAGAATTATATAGAAATTTCAATTCATTTAACTTATTATATTCAATAACTCTCTTTAGACCATCAGAGTTACTTTACCAAATCAGACATAATCAACACTTACAAAGAAGACGATTCGTATTCGAAATAATCATTAGTATTACCGGATCCACATGTTTAACTTCGCCGGATTCAGATGAATCTTGTTTTTGTGCTTTTCGCCGGTTGAAGGAGAGAAAGAAGCGAGAGAGTTGTGTCGAGGAAAAAGAAAAAAATGGGGAGAAATATTGTTTTCCCTTTTCAATTTGCTTCATCTTCCAATCACATTGTGGTAAGTGGCGGTTCTTATACGATTCTTTCCGACGCCTGAAGAAGCAACCCATACCATCCCACTAATGCTGCCCTTAACTATAACAAATATTTTGGACATATAATTATATATAACAAATATTTTGGATATATAATTATATTTCGGGTTTTTCGGGTTTGGTATCGATTTTTTCGGTTATAAAATTTAGGATCTATCCGGTTATCGCATTCGTTTCGGTTTGGTATTTCGGTTCCAAAATTTTGCCGAGAACTAATTTAACGTCTGTGTTATTAAAAGTTAAAACAAAAAGAGAGTGAATGTAATGTAAATATCATATTCATATTCATAGGGCATAAATAAAATAAAAGAGAAGCGCTAAAAGGAATCAGCAAAGGGGGAAAACAAAATCGCTTCTGCTTTGGTACGTTTCCTCTCATCTTCATCTTCATCTTCTTCGATCTGGGTTTTTGAATGCTCAAATTCAATTGTTTCATTCGAGAGATAGATATCTCCAATTTCGATTTCTTCTTAGTAGTTCCTTTGATCTGATAATCAAATCCCAGAATATCTCCGACGAGCTCAGTTTTTTTTTTTACTCATACAAATTTGATCTCTGTGTGATCCTTAATCCAGCGGAGACTCTTAAGCTTGTTTTCGATCTAATCCTCTGAGCTCTGGCTTAAATCCAATTCTGATCTCGTCGTTTCGCAATGGTGGTCTGCAAATGCAGAAAGGTATGTTTCGTCTATGTTGTGTACTCGTTTTACCGATTTCAAATCCTTGAGTGCTGTTGATTCGATGATTTGTTTGTAGCTTTTTCTTGTCAAATCAATGTATTGGTGATTTCTGTTTTTTTGCATCTGAGTTCGTTCGTGTGCATGTGTTTCGTGTTTCGACGATATCTCCTTTATTTGATGAAGTTTTTGATCTGGATTTGTAATTGTAGGGGAATTTATATGAACTGTCTTGTTTCTGTTTGGATTCTCTTTGAGAGCTCATTATGTGTGGGTGCTAATGTTTCCAATTCTCTTATTGTCAGGCTACCAAGCTGTATTGCTTTGTTCACAAGGTCCCTGTTTGCGGGGAATGCATTTGCTTCCCGGAGCATCAAACTTGTGTGGTATGTGTGATATCTAATCATATCTTTGGTGTTACATTGCTCGAGCTGATAGTTTTTTCTAGAGGAATTAGTCTCTTGTTGTTTGGACTGTAAATATGTGGAAGATCTTCTAGTGTTGGAAAAATTGCAGCTTTTGGGAACAGAAGGGGTTGATTGTTAGTTTCATGTATTTGTATTGGATAATCTGGTTATATGGTGCCCAAGTGGTTTTGTAGTAATATGGTTGTCATTTTAAAGAACTCGATACTTCGAAGAGTAGAAACTCTGTCTCTGATTTTGTCTTTGGAGCTGTTTAGATATTTTTATTGATGTTAATTTCACTCTTGTCGATCACAACGGACATAAGATAAGCATTAGTGGCAGCAGGATCTATTTCACTGGAGATAGTTATCTTGTTTGTCCTGATATGTGTCACAAGCAGTCATCAGCTCTAGTTTCTAATCTCTCTGCAGCAATTTTTCACTACTTTTAGTTGAGCATTGTTCAGACTAATTGTTGAGATGGAGAAACAATACTAAAAGATGTTTTTATTATGTTGTAATCAATAGGTCCGGACTTATTCAGAATGGGTGATAGATGGAGAGTATGATCAGCCAAAGTGTTGTCAGTGCCAAGTAACATTTGATGAGGGGGGAGGTCATCAAGTCACTCGGTTGGGTTGCTTGCGTATGTTATCTGACTTTTACCATTGTTGGATTCGATTTTTATTTCTGAATGTTTTCTACAACTAAATAACTGGAATTATCTCTATCATCTATTTGTATCAGATGCTATACATACAAATTGCTTGGTTTCGCATATCAAGAGTTTTCCTCCTCATACTGCACCTGCTGGTTATGTGTGTCCATCATGTAACACGCCTGTAAGTCCAATTGATACATATAAATGAGTAGAAAAAGTTCTTTTGTGTTCTTCCTGTTTTCTATTGCATTGTTTTTCTTGCTTGTTGGTCTTCATGGGAGCTCTTGTTTGGTATCTCATATTGATACGTGGATTTTCAGAAATATTTGAGTTGGAGTAATCCCCAGAATTTTTCTATAACAATAATGAGCACGTGATAAGTGTTGTTCTTGCTTTTTATCAATTCGTTTTTTTTATGAATACTTGTGTATCTTGTTTTGGATCTATCGTTATATGCTGAATGTTGTAATTCTTTGATTCTTCAGGCGCTAATAGTCCATGATTTACTGGTTTGGTTAACTTATTCAAGTCAGTAGCAACCTTTGTTTGTAATTACGCTAGACAGACAAATCTTGGGAAATCAATTAAAATTAGAGTATTTAGTGATAGATAATTCATGCTCTCTTGACTCTTTTCTTTTAAATTTTGGATGACTTAGCTGCGTCCTATATTCTGGTGTGTAATACTTTACTCTATAATGTGATATACTGGAGGTAGCTATCTAGATTATTTTGGTCCATGGTCCACCGAGGTTAGCTAATTGAGTAGTAGCCATCCCGATTGTATGTCATTCCTGTCTGTCCCTTTTTTTTTTTTTTTAAACGATTTGTATAGTCTGGTTTAATCTTATGCCGAAGTGTGCTTTCGTTCTTGGGAGAGTGCCATATTATAGTTCTCAATTCTCATATGGTCTTCAAATGCAGATATGGCCTCCCAAGATGGTAAAAGATGCAGGATCTCGGCTTCATGCACTGTTAAGGGAAGTGATTACGCAGGTCAGTTTTATCCTTTAGCTCAATTTTTTTTCTGATTATCCAACTTTTCATCTTGAAAGAAGTTAAATTCTCCAAAGTATTACCTTTTTGAGTGTTACCCTCACTTCAGACATCTCTCAATGTGAGCATATAATATGCCCCAGTAATATGGCAGTATCGTACTGTCACATTTTTTTGTGAAGTGATTACTGGTTTAATTTGATCTAATTCTCTGTTCTCTATATGGCAGACTGGTCTTGAGAAGAATTTACTTGGGAACCATCCAGTTTCTCGGTCCACTGAATCTCGTAGCCCACCCCCTGCATTTGCTTCAGATGCATTAATTAATTTATCATCATCTTCTCATACACAAGAAGGAAAAAACCTGCCTGATGGTTATTCAGTAGCTGGAAACGGAGAATATTCTAAACCTGCGGTTTCAGAGATAGTTGAGATAGATGTTCCTGCTTCAGCTGGGAATTACATGAAAAGCTCAAGCCCTGGAGTAAGATTCTTTTAAAAACTTTGCCTTTTTGCAAAAAAACTAATAGCAATTTCTGTCTCCCCCCTCTATAATTTGTCACAATTTTATTCATTTGTTGATGTTGTATATAGCTTGCTGCTGCTGCTGCACGGAAAGGAGTACCCGCTGTGGACAGGCAGAACTCCGAGACTCTATATTATGCGGATGATGAAGACGGGAATCGTAAAAAGTACTCAAGAAGAGGTGAGAGAAAAACCTTATCTTCTTAACCGCTCTTGTCTGAATGATGTTTTTTTTTTTGCGTTACTACATAGGCTAATGGTATGTGTCTCTTTTTCTTGTTTTTTTCCCTGAAATGCATAGTATTTACTTCAAAGCTGCAAGTGTCTGTCTTCCAGTAGACGAA